GAAGGAAGAAGGGACATAGAAAAGAAGAAAGGAGAGAACTCCTATTTTTGCATTTGTATTTGACATTAATAAAAGAAGATTGAGTCTGTGTAACCCAGTACAAAATACCTTCCCCTTAATCACAAAACTGAGATTAGGCTTAAGTGGGGGAATGAGAGAAGAATATTCTTTTCTATCTTTGATAGGCCTAAGGTTGTGATTTAAGAGGCAAAGCATAAAATATAAATGTATTAATAAGTGGTAGAAAACTTTATTGAAATATGTAAAAATTACACCGATTTCTTAATTTTATATTTTTTTAAAATTTGTATTTGACAATTCTTCTTTTACTGTCCGAGGACACCCAAAACAAAATATGTCTTGGATAGCTGAGCGTCTGCTAAAATCTCCTCTGGTGACTTTTCTGTATTGCAGAGGCTGGAAAACTTTCAGCTACATTGAACCAACCTTCTATTTTTCATCTACTCTTCTACTTCCCTACACTTTTTATTGCTTTAATTTATTTCTATTTCTGATTTTGTCTTATGTTTTGTCCTTAATGATATTTTACATTTATTTTATTCTTATTACTCTGTTAGCCACAATTAAAAAAAACAATAAGAGAGCGTTGGTAGTCTACAGATTAGCTGGTGGGGAAGGTTTTCAGAGATCAGAAAAATGGAATTTCTTGAGTTTTTAATAAGTGGTTATTTTGGGACATAAACCATTATTGGGGATGGACACAAGAATATTGTAGTGTTTTAGATGTTTTAATTAGTGACTGTGACATTATGTCATATTCTGTGGTGGTCTCCTTGTTGCTATAAAATATAGATCCTAGTCTTCATTTTATTATATCTTTGTTATACTTTCCTGGAAACCTTTGAAACAGATTTTACATGCCTGTCAATCTTTTTAGTCATTGTGCAATGTAAAAATGTCTGTGCTATCAAAAGCTGAAAGCAATTCAATGAATCATACGTGAGGCTTTCTGTATTATTACTTCAAAACCCATGTAGTGAAAACAAAACAAAAAACCCAATGTAGTCATTTCCATAAATAGCTCAATCAAAAATAAAAGTGTAAACTTGGTATGAACTGGTTAATTTCTTTGACAAAGCAAACCGATTAAGTAGCTCTGAGAATACTTTTTTTCCCCTGCTAATATTTGAACAGCTGCAACATCCACCATTCTGAAGCTTATCAAAAATTTACCAATTTTAAATGAGTAGAAAGTTCTACTGTCATTCCTGCAAACAATTCAGAACAAATGACGGTGGTAAATTGAAGGAGAGATGTGGGGAGAAATGTTAATTTTCCACCATAGATGCCAGTCTTTTAAAAATGAAAGTGCTATAGAATTGCTCATTGTTAAAAGAACAATGACAAAAAGGGATAGGAGTGTGAAAGTTGGAGAAAGTAGGCCATGGAAAATAGTCGATATTGTCAAAACTCTAAGCCAGAAAGTCAACTACTTAGGTAACCTGACAGTTGTGTGATTGTAAAAATCCAAACCTATCTTTCTACACAAAAGACTGATTACGACTTTCTTTGGAGCTAAAGCTTGTTTCCATAGAAATAGCTCTAGTTTTCTCATAGACTCAAGATTCCCGTTAGGACTTCAAACCTATTTTGTTCCTAATTTAAGAAAAAAATGCAAGTGACCTTTAGTGCAAATGAGCCAGTACTGTTTTTGGATTTCAAGCAAATTAATGAAAATATCACATATAAGCACAGAGTTCCTTTTATTATAGGACTTTTTATACAGTCTACAATTCTATTAAAATTGATTTTTAAATGCATATAATTGTCTCAAACAAAAATTTCAAATTCAGGGAAATTTGGGACATTATTTTAGTGAAACTAAAATGAGAACAAGTAGAATTTACTAATACCCTCTGTTTTGTCTATAAAAATGGGAAGAATATTAATTTAAGATGATGTCTTAAAATGTTTAATAATTTATCTACTAATATATTAGTAATAGTTTGTCATTATTTAAAAATATTTTTGACATATATAGTATATTAAGAATAAAAGTAACATAAAATGTTGTTCAGTCAAACCCAGATTACAGGTATAGACACATTTTAAACATAATTTGTCAACAACTATCTCTTTTTTCTCACATAAGTGAAAAGAAATTGTGCCTGATTGGTAAAATTATACCAGGTGAATTTTTTTATTGTCTATCTTCCATTGATATAAATAAGTAATTTTGAAATTATTAATTTTTCACAATAACTTTTATCAGTTGGGTTTATATTTTACAATAAAAACTCCAGTGTATTTTAGGTGTTACTCTGTATAAAACATAGGGTGATAGATTGTATTTCCTGGTGCACATGTAGACTGGTTATTTGTGATTTTTCTATATTTTTATTGATTTACAAATGACAATATAATTAGAGTAACTTTAATTTTGCAAAGTTGCTACCTTTTTACATTGCCTTTGTTCTTTATTTTCTCATTTTGAAAAAATTTAACACTTCAGAAAAGTTATAATAAATGGTAAAATGACCATGTGTACTCTTTACCTATATCTATCAGTTTTTAACAATTTTTTTTTTAAATTTGAACTCTGTGTGTAGTTTGTGTGTGTATATAGGTGTTTGTGTGTATATGTATATGTGTACGTATTTGAGAGTTAGTTGTATACATCAAGATGTTCCCTCTTAAATACTTTGATATATATTTCCTAAAAATTAAACATAACTATAATATATTCATTATAGTTGAGAAATGTAACATAGATACAATACTCATATATAATATAGGCTCCATATTCCATTTCTACATTTGTCTCAATAATATCCTTTATAGCTGTGCTATTTTACTATATTGTTAATGATCCGGAATCTAATCAGCATCAGACCGGCTTTTAGTTGTCATGTTTCGTTAATCCCCATGCTCTCTCTTCCCTGTCTTCAGGATTCAAAGTGAAGAATTTTGAACTGGTAAAGCCACATGAAGGAAGGAGCCTAGATCCCTTCAGGGCATTTCTTAGAGAAAGCCGCCCAAGAGAACTGCCTCACTAGGAACACCACCATCAGCCACTGTGTGTAAGAGAAAGAAATGCACATTGTGTGAAGCCGTAAAATTTAGGAGCTTTTTGTTAGAGCAGCAAACTTTAATATCCTAACTAATATGTAAAAAAGGAATCATGATTTTTATGTTATTTTAATCTTGGTCTCCTTGCCAGTACATCTTTCTTTATCTTTGATTTGATTGAAACCTTTAGTCTCAGGATCTTTCTCTATTGGTCCAGTCTCTAAGCATCTACCATACTTCTCTTTATTTTCTAAAATAGTCTAGCTGCTATGGTTTGCAACTTTAAAGCATTCTCATCATCACCCTCAAAATGTTAAACCTGAGTTTTTAAAAAATGCTTCCACTACATCAGTCTTGAGTCTTGAATGATGTAACTTGCTGCTTTCTTTGTTTCTGCTTCTGGGCCACTTATCCTAAAACTATGCAGATCGCAGTCTATAAACCTCAGTTGGGTCTCATGATAGTGGGTATTGTTTAACATTCCTCAATTGCTTTCACCCCATCAATGTTTAACTGTCATCCTCACCTGTCAGATCACTTTTTCAAACATTTACCAGTATTTTTAATCAAGTTATTTTCTACTCCCTCCCCTCATTTTAAGTCAAAATCTTCTTCCTCTTTTCTAGGAAATACTGATAATGTTAAAGAAAGGTATTCCCAACTTCTGACCATCCTATCTTTAAACTCACTTTTTACCAAATTACTTTCCCTCCACTCAGCGAAAGAGGGCCTCTATACCTTGGCACTAAATGTCATCTCTTTCCCTGGTTCTTGTACTTTCTAATGAAACTTACTCTCACCTTTTCATTTGTTATTTTCTATTCATTGTCTCTTTTCTCTCCAACTTCCTTACAGTAATTTTTAGTGCTGCTTTTAAATATTCCCAGCTCTCCACCCTGAGGTTAAATAATAGGATTATACTTTGTGGCCATTGGTGATTTGGTGGGGCCAGGTGACTAGTTACACTAGTTACAAGCAGAAGACATTGCTTGATGGGCAGTTTATTGCCAGAGCTCTATCTTTTTTTTTTTTGATACACAGCTAGAAATGTTTGAGAAGGTTGTTGCTACATCATTCTGAGTGAGAGAGGCCAAGATGATGACTATGTGAACAAGAAACATCCTTGTGGTTCTAAGCCTCTGAGAACTTGAGGTTGTATTATTGCAGCACAGCCTAGCCCAGCCCAGCACAGTTTTTAAACAACCCTTCCTCGGCCTATATATACCCTCTTCAAGCTACCACTCCATCTCCTTTGTTTTTCTCTTTCAAATTGAAAAGTAGTTAGACCCCTTTCTTAGCTCTCATTCTCTTCTCTGATGGTCTTCCTTACATTTTATTGAAACTACTCACTAATTTCTGTTGTCAGGCACTGGGGATGCTGTTCTATAAGGAATGGACCTTGAGGTCAGGTCTTAATCAACTGCTTTCTATATGCTGGGGTGGCTTCAAATTTCTCCTTGAGCAAACTTTTGCTTTTTTGTAATCCTTAAGCTTATCTCAGTGCCTAGGTAGGGTAGCTTTTCCTCCAGGGATCAGTTTTGAAAACAAAATTTAAATCCAATTAAGTAACAAACAAAGGATATGACTCTTCCCAAGACAGGAACTAAGAGCCCTAAAACCCCAGGCTTCTGTCAAAGATCCTACCTTGATTAGCTTTCATGGTACTCCCATATAAGTCTGACTGGCAGAAACTCTACTTAAATAAGATAGTCAAATGGAAGGGTGTTCCCCTGTCCCACACATGCAAAGCAGTGTATTTGCCTCAGTTCAGATTAGCAAAATGTTTCATAACCAGATGGTGCTGGCTTAGCTCCCACAGATTATTGGAATCTTCACAGGAAACACAAATCAAGATGACCAAGTAAGAGAAAACATGGTAGAAAGAATTCAGTAGAACACTATATAGAAAAGGAAATAAATGAAATAGAGTAGAATGGTAACTGATTCATCTCCAATTTTAATTTTTTAATTTTTTAATTTTAATTTTAATTTTTTAATTTATACTGTTACGATTTTCAAAAATAAAATCAGCTTAGGAAGAAGTGTATTAGAACACTTAGCCCTCAAGTGTTAATTTGATTTTTATTATAAATTTATTTTTAATCATTAGTGTGGGGAATATCAAAAAGTAAATGAAATGAAACATGTTTTGTAGAATCAATTTCTGTTTGAAGCATTAAATGTCATTTAGCATGGGGCAAATGAATCAAAACTGGTGGAAGTAAAAAAAAAAAAAATCAAAATGACGAATGAGGGAAGTAGACAGGCGAATGGTAAAGTCTTAGTTGCAGGAATCAGAAAACAGAATATGACGTATAATCAAAGATGAGGAATGATCTGAGACACCTACGCCTACTGCCCATCCAATGTTCACTGTTTAGCTGTGAAAGTGGAAAAGAAATTTGACCTGGTTGGCATGTTGGCTGTGTGTATTTTTTCTTTAATGTTTTTATTCAAATTTGATAAATTTAATAAGTATGACTAACAGGTATTTTTATCAAGGAATATAAAACAAAAATTTACGTAAAATTGAAGCCCAGGTACAAAATGCAGGTTAAAGAAATCCAGACTGTAATTTTCAGACAGCTTCCTCTGACTGTTTTGTAATCTGCAATATTGGAGGAAAAGGCAGAAAAGGCAAATTACTTATTTTGGGTTTTTTTCTCACTAAAGTTAGGTGAGGCTATCCTGAATTTGAGAGTCAGTTTGCAAAGAAATAGCAATGCTTTGCTATAGATTTGAGTGTAGAGGCTGAAGGTCATTTTCATATGCGATATGTTCCCTGCAGAAAATACGGAATGAGTTACTTCTTACTCCTCCTTTAAGTGCAGAGCAGCTTTATAATTCCGTCTCAGCACTCAAATCTGCAAGATAGCACTGCATGTACTTCTCCGTTAGTATTATTCGCTGAGCTCTTGAGCCCTGTACTCTGCCCCAGAGCAAAATTAAATTAAACTTGCTTCTTTAATAACTTGGTTACTCCCAGGTTAACTCAGACTCTCTGGGATAAATAACATTTTAGGTTATTTTCCCTTAACTCTTCCTTCTGGTTGCCCTCAGCAGAATGTGTGTTAAGCAGAAGCACATATAACATCATGGCAACTGGGCAATGCCATCTGGTTCCACATGTTCTTTTTTGGTTATTCTATGGTTAGTGTTGTGGGGACACTTTCTGCCTAGTGTTGCCTCTCTTCCCACTGTATCTGAACTACCACTGTTGTGATTTATTATTACCTTCTCAGCAAGAGTGATTCATGGTCGTTGTCCCTGAGAGCTTGGCCATATCTGCCTGCATCTCTTGCACCTGACTGAGCCTCTACCCTGATGTAAGCAGTGATACAAGCCCCCTGAGGTGAGAGATTCAACTCCTAAAATATCTCTAATCTAGCAAATCGATCTAATCCTCCCAATCCACCCANGGTAAAGTCTTAGTTGCAGGAATCAGAAAACAGAATATGACGTATAATCAAAGATGAGGAATGATCTGAGACACCTACGCCTACTGCCCATCCAATGTTCACTGTTTAGCTGTGAAAGTGGAAAAGAAATTTGACCTGGTTGGCATGTTGGCTGTGTGTATTTTTTCTTTAATGTTTTTATTCAAATTTGATAAATTTAATAAGTATGACTAACAGGTATTTTTATCAAGGAATATAAAACAAAAATTTACGTAAAATTGAAGCCCAGGTACAAAATGCAGGTTAAAGAAATCCAGACTGTAATTTTCAGACAGCTTCCTCTGACTGTTTTGTAATCTGCAATATTGGAGGAAAAGGCAGAAAAGGCAAATTACTTATTTTGGGTTTTTTTCTCACTAAAGTTAGGTGAGGCTATCCTGAATTTGAAAGTCAGTTTGCAAAGAAATAGCAATGCTTTGCTATAGATTTGAGTGTAGAGGCTGAAGGTCATTTTCATATGCGATATGTTCCCTGCAGAAAATACGGAATGAGTTACTTCTTACTCCTCCTTTAAGTGCAGAGCAGCTTTATAATTCCGTCTCAGCACTCAAATCTGCAAGATAGCACTGCATGTACTTCTCCGTTAGTATTATTCGCTGAGCTCTTGAGCCCTGTACTCTGCCCCAGAGCAAAATTAAATTAAACTTGCTTCTTTAATAACTTGGTTACTCCCAGGTTAACTCAGACTCTCTGGGATAAATAACATTTTAGGTTATTTTCCCTTAACTCTTCCTTCTGGTTGCCCTCAGCAGAATGTGTGTTAAGCAGAAGCACATATAACATCATGGCAACTGGGCAATGCCATCTGGTTCCACATGTTCTTTTTTGGTTATTCTATGGTTAGTGTTGTGGGGACACTTTCTGCCTAGTGTTGCCTCTCTTCCCACTGTATCTGAACTACCACTGTTGTGATTTATTATTACCTTCTCAGCAAGAGTGATTCATGGTCGTTGTCCCTGAGAGCTTGGCCATATCTGCCTGCATCTCTTGCACCTGACTGAGCCTCTACCCTGATGTAAGCAGTGATACAAGCCCCCTGAGGTGAGAGATTCAACTCCTAAAATATCTCTAATCTAGCAAATCGATCTAATCCTCCCAATCCACCCAACCATGGGCAACTGATGGCCAGCACTCTCAGGTGACAACCATAAACAATTGATAGACAGCACTCTCAGGTATCTTCAAATTTCTCCACTAGAGCATGTGGGAATTTTTAATATTCTTCTCACAATATAGAACCCAGGGGGAGTTTCAAAATGAAGGGGAGTGGATGCTATGTCAGACTCTTTCATGACCTACTTTACCATGCTTTCACTTCTATTTTGTCCATATTAACATGGTCAAGAGCCCATTGAGAGTCTACATACTTACAGGGTTCCAGACAAAGTGAGGACTAGTTCCTTTTCTCTACAAGTCCCTAAACCTATCAGGTCAGTTTCTATATTCCAAGACCTCATCCCTAAAAAATTAAATTCTGAATGTGAGCCAAAGATAAGACTGTATCAAGGCAATATTGGTTTAATTCTCATTTTTCCTTTTCAAATTTTTTTTCTGTCCTCTCAATCACTTTTTGAGTCATATATATTTTTTCTCTTAGAAGCAAGAAAACTTATCCCATGCCCTATCATGTGTTCTTTATTGTTTGTTAATAACATTACATCCAGAAATTCAGGTTCTGTCTCATGAACTGTCTGGAGTCAAGCCAAGCCAGAACAAGCCCTTTGTAAAATTCAAAACAAACTTTTCTTTCTCTCAAGTGCCTAGTTATTACAGATCAAAAGTTCTGTGCTTTTGGTCTGTTGTGTCTGATGTTGCGAGTTGAAAATCCATTCAACAACTCAACAGATATCTTGGTTCTATTGAGTTGTAACCAGCTTCTTCTTGAAACAATGAATACCTGTGATTAAATGGATTGAGAATGTTTGAGAGAGTAGAAACAATTCTGACTATAGGGATAAAAAAAATTGTTGGTTAATATTTCAAAATTTCCTCCAGACACAGATATACATTTAAAGTAACCAAAAAACAAAACCAAAAAGAAACTGCTTTATTTTAATGGGGGCTTTTGCTTGTTTCTGATGTATAATTACATAGAGATATGCTGTTTCTACTGGTATTTTCATCTTATTTTGGCCTTGGCATCACACAAATAAATAAAGCAAAATTTATTCTCTCAGAAAGCACACATACCGTATAAAAATTACATTACAATGTCAAAAAGAGAACTTCTTGTCTTTATTTTCTGGACTAAATACAGCTGAAAAATTGTTAATATTTTTATAATCTTGGAAGTGCTGGAGAAGGAAATGTCAAACTATCTGCTTGTTGGGTAGCTCCATTGGTGCCAATGTAACACACAGAGGACCATATTTACTCCAGGGTGGAGTTTATGATATGTAGTATATGTTCTCATATTTGTTTCAGGGAAAAGATAAAAGAATTAAGACTCTTTAGGTTCTTATTTCTATTAGGTAGAGATAGTCTGGAAAAGAGCCTATGCAGAAGTTTTGAGACCAAAAGAGAAATGAAAACCAATAGAGAAGTTAAAAATATGGGTAAATGTAAATTAGCTTTGACTATTAATGTAATAATAACAATGTGTTGTGAATATTAAAATGTAGAACTAAGGTACATGACAAAAATAACATATAAGTCAGGAAAGAGGAAAAAAATGGAGTTGAAATAGTCTAAAAGCCTTGTATAAAGTCCATGTTATGAACTCTAGGATGCTCAATAAAGTAACAGTAAAGAGTGTGTAAGTGCCATGCCAATAGAAAAGGGGATGCTATAAAAAACTA